CTCAGAGGTGGGACCGAGCCGGTGGGGCTCCCCCCACGGCGAGAGGAGGCACGGAGACTGGCAGGAGCGGCCTCCTCCAGGGACTCCGGGAGCCACAGGAGGTGTCGGAACAGGGCAGAGGCGGCAGGTGTGTGGGAAAGAGCCTTCCCGAGGTCCGGCCGGGGAGGGGCGGAACAGGGGTCCAGAGCACCCCAGAGGTGCTCGTTCTGAGTCGGGGCTCAGCCCGGAATTGGGGTTGGCCCGTGTCTGGGCTGGGGCTTAGCTGGGGTCTGAGGGCCGCCGTCGCCCGTTCGTGCTGCTGTGGCGGGATTCCGCCGGCGCAGCGGCTGATGAGCATCAGAAACGTGTGTCTCGAGGAGGCTGGAGGCCGTGGTGGAGGCTGGAGGCCGAGGTCGAGACCCTGCCATCGGCCTCCGGGGCGGCCGGCTGGGTCGTGGGAGGGTCTTCTGGCGGCGTTCTCCCAAGGCAGGGGCCTTGACACCGGCCTCCACGCCCGGCTCGTTTCCTCGATTGTGGTAGAGACAAGGTCTCACCGGGTTGCCCAGGCTGGTCTCGCACTTCCGGGCTCAAGCCGTCCTCCCGCCTCGGCCTCGCAGAGGGCGGGGGTGACAGGCGTGAGCCCCTGTGGCCGGCCCCTGCGTCCTTCCGGCAGGACACTGGCCTGGGTCACAAGGCGTCATCACCCCCCCGGGCCGTCGCTGAGTAGCGGCGCTCAGCCCTCTCGTCCCCCTGGCCCCTGCCGCCTCCTCTACGAAGCCCCCCGACCTCCCCGCCCCCTCTCACCTCCTCCGTTGTCTCTGCAGACGCTGCCCCGTCGGACGTGCGGCTCGAGGCCTCTCTGTGAGCCACCGGGGGCCAGCCCCCTCCAGGGCGGAGGTCGGAGGTCGCTGCCCAGCATGGCGCCCGCCTGGGGCCCCGGCGTGGTGTCTGTGGTTGGGCCCCTGGGCCTCCTGGCGGTCCTGCTGGTCGGAGGCTGCACGGCGGAAGGTAAGAGCCGGGCCGGACCGCAGGGCTTCGCGGGTGTCCCGGTGCGATCGCAGGTGCATGGGAGTGTGTGTTCTGCCTCCTTCCTGGGGCCCACGAGTGACGCCGAACACCTGCTGCCACAAGCCCCCCGAGACACCGATAAACAACAGCAACGGTGTTCATAAAACGATAATAGTAACGATGACGGGTCTGCTTCCTGGGGGTGACTTGGCGCCAAGCAGAGTCTTCACCCTCGAGCCTCGCAAAGCCCCACGTGCTGGGTCTGTTTCCTTCACGTTTCCCAGTGAGGAAAGGGAGGCTCAGAGGAGGCAGGTACTGACTCGAGGTTGCTTCTTAGTGAACCACAGAGCTCACCTTCCCCGCGGCCTGCAGAAACACCCATCCAGGCAGCAGACATGCAGGCAGGCAGACTTTCCCAGGCAGAGCCAGGGCGGCTTTCGTGGGACAGAGGGCGTTGCCGCTGGGGCTTATGCAGGTGTATAGGAGTATGCCGATGGAAAAGCCATTCCCAGTCAGGGGGCAGTGGCAGCACATGGAAAGGCCTGGAAGTTGAAAGAAAAAGGGTTAGGGCTGCACGGCTGGCTGCCACACGAGCAGGGTGAGGGTCAGTTTTGTGCCAGTGTCAAGTCCCGCTCCACCGTGAGAGCCCAGAGGAGGCATCCCTCAGGCCCACGGGGACGCAGGAAGGAGACTGGGTTCTGCAGCCAGGCCAGGTGTGACTCTGGGCGGGTGACTCGACCTCCCCCCAGTGGCCGCGGGGCTCATGGCATTGTCCGCATCTGACCTTCTGGTGACAAGGCCACTCGGTGAGCCTTGGCCTGCCGCCTGGCGTGTCATAAGCCCGCGGTCTTGAGTCACCGCGTGCTGAACCAGTGCTGCCGCTGGAGACACACACGCCGGCTTCGTCTGTGGGCGTGTTTTCTTGTTTTCGTGCTGGTTTTTTTTTTTTTTTTTTTT